CTTCTCTGTCCGAATTTCTCTCTTTTTTTCCCTTGTTTTTTTTAAAATTGATTTGAGAGAGAGAAACATGGGTTTGTTGTTCCGCTTACGTATGCATTCATTGGTTACTTCTTGTATGTGCCGTGATCGGGGATTGAACACACAACCTTGGTGTATCAGGATGATGCTCTAACCAACTGAACTACCCCACCAGGTCCTGAACTTCTCTCTCTTTAGGATACTAGTCATTGGATTAGGGCCCAGCCTAATCCAGTATGACTGCATTTTAGCTTGATTACATCTGCAAAGATTCTATTTCCAAATAAGTTCACATTCACAGGTTCTGGATAAACCTGAATTTGGTGGGGGATATTATACAACCCAGTACAGTGTCTGTCAGTAATCACAACACATCCCATTGGTTTGGTGAATTGCTGTTTCCAGTGGTGATTGGTTAATTCAAATTTGGGAGCATCAGAATTGCGCAAAACAGGCAAGAAGAGGAGAGTAGAGCTCACTATGTTATACCTAAAGAGTTACAGGGTTTGCTTTAGAGCACAACAGACTATTTTCAAAAGACTCTTCACTTTGGACCTTCTGGGCTCCCTAAGAGAGCCCGCATATCCGCAGGGCATCCCTGAAGGCTGCAACATCAGAGTGGGGAAGGTGCAGAAGGAAAAAGAAGCAGAGGTCCTTGCCAGTTCTAATCTCAGGGCTCTTTTTTCTTTTCTTTTCTTTTTTTTTTTTTTTTAATATGAAATGCTTCATGAATATGTGTGTCATCCTTGCGCAAGGGTGATGCTAATCTTCTCTGTATCGGTCCAATTTTCATTTTTTTATTTATTATCCTTTCAATTTTAGTATATGTGCTGCCAAAACGAGCACCTCACGACTCTTTTAAACTTTATCCTGTACTCCTCGGCCCTCCTCTTTCTCATGGCGTGGCATTCTGGACCTTCATCATCTTTATATCTTGAGTTCCAAGCCTGTGTCTTCAGTTCAAACCCGTTCTAAAGCTTCAGTGTCACATTTCCCACTTCCCCTATTTTGGATGACCCATCACTTCAATCTCTGTGTACCCGACCACAATCAGTTTCTTTCTTCCCTGACTTCCCTATTTCAAAGAATCACAGAGGATGTTTGCTATTGAAAGGATCCTCTTAGAAATCTAGTGCAAACCCTCTTGTTTTGTAAAAATGAGTCCAGTCAACAAAACACACCAGATTTTTGCCCTTCCCCTAGGTTCCACATAACCTTCCCAACCCCCTTCCCCCAAAGCTATTCCCTTAGTCTAGAACGCATTCTCCTCTTCATGTAGCCAAATACTACTGGTACTTCTAGTTCCAATATCCTCCACAGGAACTTTCTTAATGACTCCAAACAAAGTGCTCTTCCCCTTCTGAGGCTTGTAACCCTTGTCTGAGACACAGACTGCCTTAGCTTGTAATCATGTTTGCACGCTCATAAACTTTCATAAGGAACTATAGTAGCTTTATCTTCACTGCTCTTAACTACGTGGGAGCTACTATTCCAGGAACTTTTCATATAATAATTTATTTACTCTTCACAACAGTTATTGAGGCAGGTGTTAATATTATATCCATTTTAGAGGAGAAGGAAACTCACTTGGGGCGGTGATTTGCCCAACATCACATAGGCAGTAACCTCAAGTCCCTGTCTTTAACCTTTATACAGGGTGGAGCAAAAGTAGGCTTACAGTTGTTCTTATGGAAAGTAGTACAATAATTAATACGAATAATACAAGAATAAACTGTTTCGCATACTCACAACTGAAAAACTACTTTTGCCAAACCCTATACTCTGCCATCTATACCACCTTCTGTGAATATTTTTGTATCTTTGCATCTCTGCAGGTCTTGGCTCTAAACCCTATTCCAATGTTTTTCTAAGTGTGACCTCAGGGATTCCACCTCCCTGCTTGCTCATCAGCAACGTAGATTTCTGGCCCTGACCTCCTCCATCAGGGTTTTGGAGGTAAATTCTAAAAACACCCTCTGGTTTGAAAATCTCTGCCTGAACAAAATAGGCGTTAGAGGATTTAATGACTGTATGGAGTCAGTTGACTCCAGCTCAGACCGAAGGTATTGCAGTACCAAGTAAGGACAAATGGAGGACACATACGTGCACTGGCATCATAGACTTGCAGCTCCTGCCTGCCATGGGTCATGGGATGCTGTGGACCCATCAGAGATTCAGATCTTTGTTCTCTTTTCCTCCTCTGCCTATCTCCGTCTCTCCAAACCCCGGCTACTCCTTCCTGGATAATTTACTGCCTCTTGAGGCATCAATATGTGTACTCAGATTACTTCAAAGTAGTCCACTTGGGAAGCTTTCTTCTTTTATCAATCCCTCCTGTCTGTCACCTTTCAATAGGATGAATCTGTACCCTAGGTGTGGCTTGTTAAATGGCTTAAATAACACTAGTCATTTGGGGAGAAAATACTTGCAAATTACATATCTGATAAGGTTAATATACAGAATATATAGAGAACTCCTAAAAAAAATCCAATTAAAAACTGGGCAAAGAACTTGAACAGCCATTTCTCCAAAGAAAAAATACAAATGGCCAATAAGCACATGAAAAGATGCTCAATATCACTAATCATTAGATTTGGTGCCAAAACCACAACAGCTACTACCTCACATCTGTTAGGATAATTACTATTAAAAAAAAAAAAAAGTGGCCCTGGCCAGGAAGCTCAGTTGGTTAGAGAGTCATCCTGATATGCCAAGGTTGCAGGTTCAGTCCCCAGTCAGGGCATATACAAAAGCAACCGACGAAGGCACGAATGCATGAATGGGTGGAAAAACAAATCGTCTCTCGAAAAATCAATACATTTTAAAAAATGGTAAAGATAATAAATTAAGATAACTTATGTATATTTTACTACAATAAAAATAATTGGGGGGGAAACGACAACAGCTAACATGCTCGTAGAATGCTTACCATGCGGCAAGCACTGGTCTAAACACTCCACATGTGATAACTCACTCCAAAAATCACTAATCATTTACTGAGCACTTACTATTGCTCGCAACAATCCAATGAAGCAGGTGCTACTATTTACACCTATCTTACAGATACGGAGGCGAGGAGAGGTTAAAATCTGCCCATGGTCACAGAGCTGGAAAATGCAGAGCCAGAGTTAGAACTGAAATCTGTTGGGTGTGAGAGCCCACTTAACCATATTGCTTCCCACAGTTTAAAGGTGATCCATCACTTCCTGGGCACCGAGTCTCATTGGACGCCTGGCACTGAATCTCATTGTTTTTAATAACTCACCTGATTAGAGACTTTAAGAACATATTTACATTTCTTCTGCAAAAGAATGGTAACGTTAATACAGTGGATTCCTTTGGCAGCAATTCTAAATAAAGACATTAACAAGAGCTACCCACCGGACTTAAAGTAGAAATGCCCACACCCCAAGGCAACTTCAGCAGACACATTTAGATACCTCCCCTTCATCCCTCATCAATTATCCCCCAACTGGTTATCTTATCCTTAGAAAGGAACCTCTCTCCTCTCTCTCCCTCCCATCACCTTCCAGACCTACAAGGCATCCCCATGCCCCTTTTCTTCCTAAAGTGAATCTTCTGCAACATCCTGACCCAAGGAGCACTTTAGACAAATTCAGTCTCTAAGATAACTCAAGCTGTCTCAGTCCCCCTGCCCCCCAGATAGCTGCCAATAGAGGCAGGAGTTAAGCACATGCATTAACCTTTTCATGTCTAAGAGGACAACTTTCTTTTCTACACCAAGGGTTGCTTCTTGGCTGCCCCTTATTGTCCGTGCCCACATCCCCAAGTTGGGTGTATATTCTCCTAAATTCAGGAATAAAATCCTAGCTATTTCCAGACACAGATAGAGGTAGGAGTCTATAGAAACGAGCTAGGAAGGAGCTTAAAATACTTCACATTCCAGAAACACCCTCCCTTCCCCCCAGGAGATGGCTTTATTCCCACTCCTTTCTCAGCAGAGTTGGACTCAAAGGAGCTGAAGCTTGGAGTCAGGCAGCTGGTGCTAGCTGTGTGGGCTTAGATAAATGACTGAAATGTCTCAGCTTCAGTTTGCTTATCTGTGAAATGGGGGTGACACCATCCTGTTCTCCAGGTTACCATGAGGATTAAGATACGTAAAACAACTGGCATCTTATTGAGGACCAGGAATTCATTCAAGATCTAGTAAAGGGAGAGAACTCCTACAAATGAGTCTCTTGACAAATGTCCTCAAAAAAGGATGGGAAGCCTGGCTGGTGTGGCTCAGTGGGTGAGCACCGATCTATGAACCAGGAGGTCATGGTTCAATTCCCAGTCAGGGCACCTTCCCTGGGTTGCAGGCTCGATCCCCAGTGTGGGGTGTGCAGGAGGCAGCCAATCAAAATGATTCTCTCTCATCATTGATATTTTCTCTCTCTCTCTCTCTCTCTCCCCCTTCCTCTCTGAAATCAACTATATATATGTTTTTTAAAGGATGGGAACAGCCCTAGCCAGTTTGGCTCAGTGGATAGAGCTTCAGCCCACGGACTGAAGGGTCTCGGGTTCTATTATGGTCAAGGACACATACCACATTTGCAGGCTTGGTCCGGCCCTGGTCTGGGTGCACGTAGAAGGCAACCAATTGATGTGTCTTTTTCACATCGATATTTCTCTGTCTCTCCCCTCCCCTTCCACTCTCTAAAAATCAATGGAAAAATATCCTTTGGCAAGGATTTACAACTAAAAGGATGGGAACAGAGTTGACATTAACTAAAAGGAAAATTAAATTTTAAGACAAGAGTCCCAGCAACCCAAGTCTGTTTTTATCAAACAGCTACTTATAAACTGGGTTTGGTGATGTAGGGGCAGTGGGGGTGGAGTGGAAAGTTTACCTGACAGGAGTCTGGGTTTGGGATTCTGATTTTGTTATGTGACCTTAACCCCTCCAGTACCATGTGGCAGATATTGCCTACTTACCAGGTTGTGATGAGGGTCACTGGCTAAATGCCAGGAATTTATAGTTTTTTTTTTTTTACTCTACTCAGGCTCCATAGGAGTGCCGGCAGGCAATACCAACTCAGGTTTTAGCCGTAAGGCAGGAGTAGCTCAAACAAGGTGGCCTTCTCCCACCATGCCGCTCATGGCCCTTCGAAACAGCAACCGCTTCCCTTTCCACCCCACTGATGGGCAAAGGGGCTGGCTATGGAACATATGCATCACTTCATCCCAGTAAGTGGCAGGCACAGTGACACCCCGCCCCCCGAGTTCCAAGCAGCAGTTAAGCGATGGAATTTCATGTTTACCTCCTCCACACACCCCATGCTAACAAAACAAGCTGATCATTACTATGCTGTGGGGAAGATATTCAGAGGTGGTTTCAAATCCCAGCTCATTGACTTACCAGCTGTAACTTTGGGCAGTTTTGTTTCGCTCTAAGAACCTGTTTCCTCTTCTGTAGTCCTGGTGGGTGTGGCATAATATGGAGAAGTAAGCTCAGGCATAGGCAGTACTCTATCAGGAAGAGCTATTATTAAGTTCTCTCCTCTTGCATTTACAGCAACTTTATAAGAACTACGGGAGGAAAAGGGAGTCTTCATTCTCCTTCATTAAATCCAGGAAAAAAAGGGGGGAGGGTCACATTACATCACAAATTCACTGAGAATTTCTAAAAAGACATCCTGCCATGGGTCATCAGACCACTAACGTAAGAACAGTACCACCCTAAATACAAGGCTTTACAGTTTAGAAAGTGGTTTATCATCTACTACTTCACTGAATACCTGCCAAATCCCTGTGAAGTAGCATTTATCCCCATTTTGCAGATAAGGAAACTAGGACTCAGAAAGATTAGGCTAAAGGCACAGAACAAGTGGTGGAACCTGGATTTCAGGCCTTCTGAAGTACAAATTCAGCATGCTTTGCAATTCACAAGGGAATTTCGTGTTCGCCAAGAGCCGAGCCCACGTTGTTTAGACATGTCTGAAATGGCATTTCGGGAACCCAAAGTGGAATGACCAGGTGAGCAATGTGGTTAGAGAAATGCAACCCTCTGGCTCCTTTGTAGCTACCCTGCAACAGTCTTCCTTGGTTCAGGGAGACTCAGTTGGCATAAGCTGCCCCCACTCTGACATGTTTGAGAAAGTTTTATTAGCTGTCCCAGAAGGCAACATTTTTAAATCAGGCGATCAATAATTACAACTAAATACATAATTTCAGATAAACTTGCCTTTCAAAATAAGTCAAGACTCTCACAACAGGATAATTGCCCAAGAGCTTTTTTCTTGTACAAAAACGCCACCACTTTGCAAAAGGCATACAAAAATACAGTATTAAAAAAAACACACACACAAAAACTGCTTCCGGTATAATATCCAACAGCAGCTCATAAAACACAAGCTATTCAGGTGAGACATCAGTAACCTATTTCCCACCCATTCTCCAAAGAGAGTTCCAGAAGTCACTTGGCTCCAGAAAACCATGCTCCAAAAGGTAGAGAGACTTTCTCCAAACTTCCACTGGGGTTTTCTCTAGGGCCAAGAAGCAACCTCAGAAACAGACTCTCGTGCATAACAGGTTTAGAAGTAGCAGGTGGCTTTCCAGAGCCACATACAGCTCTCAACCATCCTTCCCTCCCCCACTTTCAAACCCACAGCCAGCAGAGCCCTGGAAGGGGGGGTCGATCCTTTTTTCAGAATAGGCTTGGGGGCTCCTGAGGTTGCCCACAAGACACTACAGGGTTAGGTTTTTTTACAGACTGGAGGTTGCACCTGGAAGCCACTTGGAGGTGCGGAGTCCAGCTGGGGCAAAATGCACCATGGTCCACTGAGCAAAGCCCCCACCCCGGGAAGCCAGGCGGCCTTCTGGAGCACTGGATGAGTCCCAGCAGCTCTCCCAGGAAGACCTTCAGTAAGGCCCAAGTTCTGAGACAGAGATCTGACTCATGGCAGGCTGGCAGGTGGCCCAAGGGTGGCTACAGAGACACAAGCTCCTTGGAGCTGCACGAGGACAGGTTTGCATGGTTCTAGTAGAACTTCAAACTTATCAGTCAGGGCTTGAGATGAGAGGAAGCTGCGAAAGAGGAAATGGTACAGTTCTCACTCCTGATGTGCCTGACGACCGCCTTGAGAAAAGATTCCAAGATGGAAGACACCTGGGTGGGGAACAAGTTCACAGCCAGAACCCCAAGCCTTCCCTTGGTTAGGACCCATGTCCCTGCATCTTGGGGAAATATTTCTGACCTCTGGGAAAGGGGTGCTCTAACGCCCATTGCTAACAAAGGCAGAAGGAAACAAAAAGGTCCCTTGTGAGGACAGAATGGTCTTTCCCTCAGAGGAAAGGGCCCAGAGGGCTTTGAGACAAAGAATCTAGAGGCCAAGCTCTTTAAATGTTCTCAAGGCAGCAGCATTGAGTGGAAGGAGGGGTGTCATCTGACAATATATATGTATATATTAAAGGTTTCCAACTCCTCAGCTACTGTAAAGTGTCTGACAGTGAGGTAACGGTCCATGTTGATCAAGTCTGCGAGCTTGTCTTCACCCAAGACAGCTCGTATGTCTCCTGGAAAAAGGAGCCTCAGGGAGTGCATCCAGGCCCAGCTGTCCCAGCATCACCCCAGAGACACCAGTGGGAGCATCCCTTCCCAGCCTAAAGCTCATCCGGAGTGTGAGATTTCATGCAGGCTGGAGGCCCCGACAACGTCCACCACCTGTTGCATAGCATCTGTCAGGCTTTTCTTCAGAGCTAGTGAGCTAGGCAGACCCCAAGGCTCCTCAGTCAGCTGCCCGCCTGAGAAGCCAAAGGCGCCAGAGAAGACACAGTGCTCCTGTTGAGTCAGGGAAGAGGGAGAGCTGGGTTTCCAGGGTGCACCAGCTGCAAAGCATCCTGGGATCTACTGTCCAGACTGTCCCGCCGTAACCAAAATGTGCAAATTACTAAAGCGGAGAGGGACGGTTAAAAAATTAACTCAGGTCTTTGTAAGAGCAGTCAGGCGTTTTGGTCAGTTAGTAGCCACTGAGATACGCGATTCTTTTCTGCAGTTGCTGCTGCCGGCATCGAAGCTGCCTTTTCTCGGTAGCCATCCTCTTCTCCGCCCCCACCAGGGCCTGCAAGTATTCCAACGCCTTGCTCAGGATCACCACTTTAGGGGCCTTGGAGCAGCTGGCCAGGGTGGGTACCTGGTCCCTCAGGGCCAAGAACCTTGAACGGAGGTCATTTCGCCTTTTGCGCTCCAGGAAGTTGTGGTTCTTCCTCTTGGTCACATCCTCGGTGTCAGAGCTGACAGGTCTGGGGTGGCCGGACTGGGGAGCCTCACTTTCTATCGGCAGGGGGCTCCCAACCTCTTCATGTACCTCATCTTCCTTTTCCTCTGGAGCTTCTGTCTCCAGAGCCTCTTCTTGAGGACCTCTCTCTGGAGGCCCTTCTTGGGAACAGCTCTCAGGAGGAAAACGGGCGGCATAGTTGTGCTGTTGCTGATGGATGGAGATGTGGAAGTGTTTCATGCAGGGGTCCAAAGGGTCTGCTCGCACTGTGATGGTGACCGGCTTCCGCACACCCAGGGACTGTCTCTTCTCCACTGTCACAACATCAATTTCTTCCCCCTCTGTCCAAGAAGAGAGATCAAGAGAAAAACACACCCCATGAGAAACATATACAAGGATCCTACGCTGGGAAAGGAAATGACATTTTTCTAATTTAGATATAAGCAAACTGAAGTGAAGGGAAAGACAGCTGATTCATTTGTAATGGGTAAGGGCAGTGTGAAGGAAAGGAAGGGAAATAAGCAAGAAGGGAAATATTCTCCAATTTCCTTTTGCACAGCAAGGCTTAGATAAGAACAAAAGGCAGGCCCAAGCCAACAGCCCCCAGTCTGCACAGGCTCTCCCCTCCCCCACTGAGAGGATGGAGAGAAAGAGCTATCAGCCTGGGACAAAGTTTAGCTATAAAGATCTTCCCCAGTCGGGTTCTTTCATGCCCCATCAGAATTGTAAATGAGGGGTCTGTGGGCAGAGTTGCCCTTTGTTCCTGCCCAGCACAGCCTGCACTTGGGGAATTGTTACTTTTCACAAGTTATAAATCCTATTATTCCCCCACCTCTCTATTCTACTATCCCTTTCAGACGAAGATTCAGAGAAGGGAGGGCTGCAAGGCATCTCTCATCTCTCCACACCCACAGAGGGGAAGGAAAGGTTTCCGTTAGGGGCATTTTGCTATCGGGTTCAATGGGTTTCTAAAGTCATCCATCATTTATAGGTTGCCTGCCCCACCCCCTTCCCTGGACCAGAATAGGGTTGGATTTGTAATTGCAGGTCGGCAAAAGCTGCAGAAACTTCACAAAGGTACAAGCGACCATTTCCACGCTACCTGTGCCAGGGGTAAGAACCAAGCAGAATATCCCCATGCAAGGGCTGAAACACCAGGGACCTGGACATGCCCCATCATTCCCTGGCTTGAGGGTCTCTTAGGTTACCCCAACCAGGAGAGGGGCATTTAGGGGAAAACCTTCCTGCTCCACACGTTTTTCAGACCTCCACATAGCAGACCACCTAATGCATTTCAGCCTGACAACAGAAGAGCTCAGTTCTCTGTCTCTTTTGCATATCAGGAAGCTTGAGCCCCTTTGTCAGGAAGGCTTCCATTGTGTGGACAATCGCATTACTTCTCCATTAATAAAACCTGACCATTCAGCCCTCCTGGCCCCAAGGCCTGTGATTGGCTGGCTAAGCTGTGTTTGGAATGCTGTTTTACCCAGCCCCTACCGGCTATTGGCTGAGCTTTGCCATCAGTCACTCTCCCCACCCCCCTCATTGTTTGCAATCTGTTGCATTTTGTTCTGAGCCATGTGGCCTGTGAACCAGGAGCTTGCAAACAGGTTCAGGTTAAAGGGCAGGTCAGAAGATTATTCAGCAGGCTCCCCCGCATCCCAAACTTTAATATTTCAATGTTAAACCTGGTGGCTGGGAAGGCTCGGCCTAAGGAAGAAATAATGTAAGACCACTATTCCCCTTTTCAGAGAGCAGTGTCTAACTCTACCCAGACAAGCAAATGCCCTCAGCTGGACAATCAAGGCCAAGCCCCTCATATGCCAAGGGAGAAACAGACCTAGATCATCCAAATCCACACATCACTTTTGTAACATTCTGGACCTCAAAGTAACATCTCAAACTCCCAAAACAGTGCTCTTCCCACTCTTCCACTCCATCAGCCTTTGTAGAGATCTATCTTTGCTGGTTTCTTGATCTCCAAATTCCCATTCCAGCCATTAAATAAATACAAGCTTTTGGTATAGGAAGCAAGCAGGTTAAAAATGACCTTAAACACAGTGGACTGGAAAATAGTTGACTTTTAAATTTTTCTTGTTATCCTTACTTTTTCCCTTCAAGTGTATGACGACTTCCATACCCTATTCCAGGGGTCCTCAAACTTTTTAAACAGGGGGCCAGTTCACTGTCCCTCAGACTGTTGGAGGGCCGGACTATAGTTTAAAAAAAAACTATGAACAAATTCCTATGCACACTGCACATATCTTATTTTGAAGTAAAAAAACAAAACGGGAACAAATACAATATTTGTGTTTGCATGTGGCCCGCGGGCCGTAGTTTGAGGACCCCTGCCCTATTCCCTAGTCCCCCCCTCTAAATGGTCATGTAAAGTTATCCTTAAAAGTGAACAAGTGGGACATCTGTAATACTTTCAACAATAAGATAAATTTTTTAAAAAGTGACAGGGTTTTCTCTGTCCTGCATCTTATAAAAGCACCCGCTCCGATATTTCTTATGGATACAGAGGTCCGAGAAGAGAGTAGGCTAAGAACATTGTAGTCTGGTGGCCTGGGATGCTGGTCTGCCCTTAGTGAGGTTTACACTTGCATTCAACGCTGGGGAAAGCGGCCTGGAATTCCATATCCTTGACCCCCCCAGCATCTAGATTCTAGAGAGTTTGGCACAAAGTAGGGGCCAGTGAACCCTTTTCGAATGCAAGGAGGCAGCTGAAGCTCTCGGATGGATTTGGAAGGGAGTTAGAGGGACACCTTTCCAACTCAGGCCAAAGCAACAAGGCAAGATGTAGCCCTTCTCAGATAAACTACACTGAAGACCCTCTAAACATCAAGAAGTACCTGGTTGAGATGGAGGGTTGGGCAAAGAAGCTGGCTAGATGGCAGGAAGCTGGGGCTCACTTCTAGTGATTTCCTATTTCTAAGCCTCAGTTTTTCCATCTGTTAATGGTCAGGGTTCATTCCTTCCTTGTCTCATGGGTAATGGTGTGGATGCACAAATGATAAGGGATGGGAGCATTTTAAAGTCAAGCAGACAGGAGACTAGGTTTTTAAAAGGATGAAGGCTTTGGCTTTGCACAAAAGGCTCCTCAGCTTCCTCTCTCCCTAGGGGAGTGTGAGTTTCCCAGGAAAAGAGGCAGTAACAAAAAACTTCAAGCCTGGAGTGACCCTTAAGGGACCTCTTCCAGCCTCCCAGGACAGAAATCCCCTACTGTCCAATCCCGTATTGTCCTCTCCAAGCCTCACCCTTGTCTCCCTTGTCCCCTGGGGTTCCAATCATCATCAAAGAAGCGCTGGCTCCCACGCCACTTCTTCAAACTGTTTACTAACACACCCACGTGCCAGACAGACACTGCTGGGGGCTACACTGGCAGCTTCAGCCCGAGAAAGGGGGAGGTGGCCGAAGGGCTTGCGAAGATTCAGTGCCTGACCTCAAACAGCGGCAGAGTTTTGGCCACCCATGGGGTGCCCCACTCCACACACACCTCCTGATCAGCCCGGGGCAGTCCTTACCCGAGTCGCTAGGGCTCTCGGACCCCGAGCAGGCCTGGGTCTTGGCCTCGCCCAGTGGGCAGGGGGCAGCGGGCACCGGGGTGCCGACTTCGAGGCTGGGAGCGCAGTCCGGGGCGGCGGGCAGCTTCGGCGGGTTCCCCCGGGGCGCGCCAGTGGCGAGCCGGTCGCTCACCGCTCTCTCCAGCCGCTCCCGGGCTGAGAAGCCGCTCCACATGCAGTCACGGCGGATGATGGAGGCGTAGTTTCTGCCCCAAGCTTTCGAGTGGCCCCGGGATTCTGCCTCATCCCCGGCGCCCCCTCCGGGCCACGGCTCCGGGGGACCAATTCCAGGGGCCGGGTCCCCGGCGCCGGGACCCGAGCCCCAAGGCGGCGACGTGGGAGGCGACGGCACCAGCTCGAATTTCTTCCAGATGTCCTCGCTGGGCGCCGTGGAGCGGTAGAAATCCTCCCCGCAGTCATAGTCGTAGAAATAGTGCTGGTACGAGTCGAAGTCCATGTCCGCTCCCTGCGAGAGGGAAGGGGGACGTGCTGATTGGGGTACGGGCCCGGGGAGGGAGGCGTTCCCGGATTCCCAAGCACAGCCGGCTGCAAGGCTCTACCCCTCCCGAACCTCTGGGCTTGGAACCCACGCCCTTCCCTCGCGTCCCGGGAAGCCCGGTGCTGGGTCAGCGAGCCCGGGGAAGCCGCTCACAGAGCGCGGACGCGGCTGCAGGAGCGAGTTCAAAGCAAACTTTGCCAGCGCCGCCCGGGGCGCAGCTCCCAGGGCCCAGCCGGGCCGGGCGGGGGCGCACTGTGCCCAGAAGGCAGCCTGCAGCCCGCCCCCCGGGACCCGTGCCCGTACCCAGGCGGCCCCTAGCCTCACCTCGCTCCGGCCGCCCGCCACCGAGAGCGGACCCGCTCGGGGCCGGCTCGGGGCAGCCCGGCAGCCCGCACACAAGCACATGCGCGCCACCGAGCGCGCGACCCGCATCCAAGAGCGCGCCCCCGCGCGCGCGCTCTTTCCCTCGCTCGTGCACGAAGCCCCAGACGCTGCTACCGGGATAGGCGCGGGAGCGCGAGATGCAGGCGCATTGTTTCCCGGCTGCCTTATATCTCGTCGCGCGCTCTAGGCTCCGGGACCCGGGGGCGGGCCCTACGGGACAAGCCCCTCCTCCTATTCGCCCCCTCCCAGCAGTCGACAGGTGGGGACTCGGAGTCTCCGCCCCACCCCTGCTGGCTGCTCTCTCCGGCTCCATTAGTCCCTATACCCCACAAATAAATTGCACACGGGGGAGGGCAGGGCAGGCGGCAAGCTGATGCAGCCCGGCGGTCGCCTGGTGGGGGCGTGACTCTTCCCCAAGACCCAGACGGCCCCTGCAGACCGAACTAAAACGGTGATCCTTGCCCACTCCGGGCTGGGAACGAGGGCTACTCCCCGCCGCGCCCCGCCCTGCCCAGCCCCGCGAGTCTACTTCCCAGGCCTCGCCCAGCCTAGTTCAGGTGCGTCTGGCCCGCGGGGGGTGAGGTGGGGAAGCCCTCGCACCTACACCGCGCCACCTGGCGGCCCGCACTCCCGCACTGGGGCTGGTCCCCAGCATCTGGTTCTTCACCCGGTGACCGGTTTCTTTAGCTAGGTGTTACAGACCTGGGCCCCAGCGAAACGAGGTGGTGAAGATTCCGGACTTTGGAGCCTGAAACTTCACTTTTTTTTTTCTTCTTTTTAATCCTCACTCGAGGATATTTTTCCATTCATTTTTTAGAGAGAGTGGGAGAGAGAGGACAAGACACAGAGAAATATCGATGTGAGAGAAACACATGGATTAGTTGTGTCCTGCACCTACGCCAACCAGGGCCCGGCAGGGGAGGAGTCTGCAACCAAGGTACGTGCCCTTGACTGGGATCAACCTGGGACCGTTTGGTCCACAGGTGGATGCTCTATCCACTGAGCCGAAGTTCACTTTTCTGTGCCTCAGTTTCATCTACAAAATGAAGGGACAGTAATACCTTCAGAAGTGCGAGTTTTTAAGAAGATAAGGGTATCTAGAGAAGGGAATCAGGCCAGGAGGGAGGCCAGCAGAACAGAGCCCCTAGTGCGGTGGTAAGGAGGATGATTTTCCTCCAGGGCCAGGCCACGCGGAGGCCTCTTCCTTACACCACACACAAAATACTCTGTAGGAGTTGTAGTATTAGAGGAAAGAATGGGAATTTGGCGTCTGGAAACTGTTCAAGCTCTTACTTTGCTACTTGCTAGCTGTAGAGCCAAGACATTTGAAGGCCTCTGTCTGCCTACCTGTAAAATGGGAACATTGCTTGCAGCTGCCTCTCTGGCCAACATAATGGACATGTAAACCCTTTATGTCATCTTACATGTAGACTATCTTCGGTAAAAGAGGAAAAGCCAGACTATACAGTTATTCTATTGAGACCAAGGAAAGTAACTTGGAATAGCTGCCAATTAATCTAGAATGCTTCACCTGGCATTCAAGGTCTGGTCTCTGTCTGCAAGCAGCAGCCTGACGGCCTGCTGTCTGTGTCTTTCCCTCCCACCTCTGCAGTCTAAGAACAACAACTACTCACTGTTGGCATCCCAGCAGAGAGAAAGGAGACGTACAAGTAGTTCCGTGTTGTTGGAACGCGGGACACACAGTGTGAGTTGATACATGAGTTGGGAGGAGGCAGGAAAGATGATCCCCTGAGCTTTGGATATGTTGGGTCTAAGGTGTATGTGGGACATCTTTGAAAGCTGCAACTAGCTCTTCCTAGCTTTGTAACCTCAGTACCTGGCAGGTATTTATGAACTTACTGAGTGATTCAGCCAACCAGGTATTATTGAGACAGCCTGGGTGCCTTACTTTGTGCTAAACAGAGGCACAGGTCAGGGGAAATTCAGGTCTGGTTGCAGCCCTGAGGCAGAAGGATTGGAAATGTCTTTTGGAGACTTATTCTCTGGTCCAGGGGTCCTCAAACTACGGCCCGCCGAAAACATTTATCCGGCCCGCCAGGTGTTTTTGCCGCCGCTGTGTGCATAGGAATTTGTTCATAGTTTTTTTTTAAACTATAGTCCGGCCCTCCAACGGTCTGAGGGACAGTGAACTGGCCCCCTGTTTAAAAAGTCTGAGGACCGCTGAAACCGGTTTGGCTCAGTGGAAAGAACGTCGGCCTGCGGACTGAAAGGTCCCAGGTTCGATTCCGGTCAAGGGCATGTACCTGGGTTGCAGGCACATCTCCAGTGGGAGATGTGCAGGAGGCAGCTGATCGATGTTTCTCTCTCATCGATGTTTCTAGCTCTCTGTCTCTCTCCCTTCCTCTCTGTGGAAAATCAATAAAATATATTAAAAAAAAAAAGTTTGAGGACCCCTGCTCTGGTCCATAAAAATGTCTGAAGTGGTTGCTGTATCAGAGTTCTTGGTTACAAATGACAGAAACTAACCCTGGATAAATTTAAGCAGAAAATCACTTTATTGTAAGGATTTTGAGTTTAGAATCCATAGGAAGCTGGGAATCTATGCTTGGAATATGAGTCTTCTTTCTTTATCTAGACAAGGGTCCTTACTCAACAGCCCCTCTCCGTGATTCATTGTAGTAGGTGATATCTGGGGGCAGCCAGGAGATGACTCCACCTCGAGAAATAGGATACAGTAAATTGTCATCTGAGAGGCTGTTCCTTCACTTTGCACTTTGTTTGATGTTGGTCTTCCTTACCAGACTATAAACTCAATGAGGGCAGAGACAAATACCAGTCTGGCCCGCGGGGGGTGGGCAGGGCCGGCGGCAAGCTGTAACTTAGAACAGAGTCTGGCACATCATGGGTGTTTTGTAAACGTGTTGCCTGTTTGACTGGACCTACATCTCCAATGCGTTAAACTAGAAATGTGTCAGCTTCCAGTGGTAAGGTATTGGGAAGGGGTAGTAGGCCCATGTCTTTTCATCATGAAGGTGGCAAGAAGAAGGGCCTGGGCCCAGCCAGCAGTTGAGCTCACTAGTTTGATTCCTAGTCAGGGCACATGCCCAGGTTGCAGGCTTGATCCCCAGTAGGGGGGCAGTGCAGGAGGCAGCTGATCAATGATTCTTTCTCATCATTGATGTTTCTGTCTCTCTCGTCCTCTCCCTTCCTGTCTGAAATCAATTTTTTAAAATATTAAGAAAAAGAAGAAGAAGCCCCTGAAGCAGCCCAAGAAGCAGGCCAAGGAGGTGGATGAGGAAGGTAAGGCATTTGAGCAGAAGCAAAAAGAGGAGCAGGAGAAGCCTGAGGAGCTAAAAGTGAAGGCCACAGGGAAGGGCGCCTTGGCCACAGGTGGTATTAAGAAACCTGGCAAATAAATGGTGATGGGAAAGGAAAATAAAATAGAATACAAAATAAATGAATAAAAGTAAATTTTTATAAAAGAAGGAGGAATCTGGCAAAGGGCTCTCCCTCTCAGGATCACACCTGCGCCTTTCCTGTCCCCTTCCGCTTCCCCCCAGTCACATTACCTGTACCCTTCTCTCTCCTAAGCTCCAAAGGCCCCCTCTTTTGCCTCTGTAACTTGTTTCCAAAGCCCATCTCTTCTATGGCTCACTTCTTCTACTTCTGTGACTTTCTAAATAAACTTTCTCTTATTAAAAAAAAAGAAGAAACACCTATGGATTCTTTTATAAAATCACCCCCCCCGGGATTCAGGGCTCCGTTCTCCTGGCAGTTTGCTAATTTTGCGTAGCAATTAGTACTGACTTCTCAAAACGGGCTATCCCAATGCAGTTGGAGAATGTCCCACGTAGTTCCTCAGAGACCGTGGGTAGCCCTGTGCTTTTTTATTGCACACTGGAAGAGGAGGAACTTGAATAATTACTAAATTCCCAATCGGAGTGGTCTGGAGGAAGACACAGTAATCCGAAACTAGACATTAATTCAAGCCCTTCCTGAGACGGGCAGCAAAGAGCCAGGATATGCCTTATTTTAAAATCCGTCCTACCTATTCACTGACCGCACAGGCCGGACCACATGGTCCTCTCTTGCAGCCAATCCAACTGTGAGCAGCAGATGGGATAATTTGCATTTTTCTTCTTCTATTTTCTTTGACAGGCAAATTAAAGGGTTTTTTTAATTAAAAAGAAAAAGAAATCTGGCAAAAGGTGAGCTGTTCCTTGTGCCTGGTGATCCTTCATTCCATTCCTGTTTGTTTGTTTGTTTTGTTTTGTTGTTTTTAATAGTTTACTGATATTTAGAGAGAGGAAAGGAGAGAGAAGCATCCAAGTATTTTTATTGATTTCAGAGAGGAAGGGAGAGGGGGAGAGAGATAGAAACATCAATGATGAGAGAGAATCATTGATCGGCTGCCTTCTGCATGCCCCGCGCTGGGGACTGAGCCTGCAACCTTGTCATGTGCCCTGACCAAGAATTGAATCATGACCTCCTGGTTCATAGGTCGGATGCTCAATGACTGAGCCACGCTGGCTGGGCTTACAAATTTTTTGTAACAGCAAAACATCAATGGGCCGCCTCCTGCACACCCCCTGTTGGGGATCAAGCCTGAAATGCAGGCACATGCCCTGACCAGGAATCAAACTGGCAACCTTTTGGTTCACAGGACAATGGCCAACCAACTGAATCACACTGGTCAGGGCAATTCCATTCCTGTTTTAACATATGGATTCTCTGTCATAACATCTCTTGGCACCTATAGCTAGAATGAAGTATTATCTTGGAGCCTGTTATACATTTAGGAATAAACTTTTGTTTAAAATAATAATAATAGTAATAATAACGCAGTGGCTAATCTCTTTAGTTCTTCTCATTCGGCCAATTCAACCTCAACTGTGAGGTCAGAGTAAACCCAGCCCAGAATCCTGTCAACTTGTGCTCTTCAATCTTTGTTGTATTCCGAGTTCTGTATTGCCTGGAATTAAACCAGCTCACTTGAAAATAAAATAATGAAATGAAATGAAATGAAATAATAAAATAAAATAAATAAAATAAAATAAAATAAATAAAATAAAATAATAAAAAAATAAAATAAATAAAATAAAATAAATAAAATAAAATAAATAATAAAATAGAGATGTGTCAACTTTAGAGATAGGGACAGAATAACTTAAGCCCAGTACAGACTATAACCTGAATAACTGTATTAATGCAGCTAAAGAAAAGAAGGTGCCAGTTAGGAGGGGTCTGGACAGAGATCAAGAAGAGTTGTCAAGCCCTAACCGGTTTGGCTCAGTGGATGGAGCGTCGCCCTGCGGACTGAAGGGTCCCAGGTTCGATTCCGGTCAAGGGCATGTACCTTGGTTGCGGGCACATCCCCAGTGGGGGGTGTGCAGGAGGCAGCTGATCAATGTTTCTAACTCTCTATCCCTCTCCCTT